ATATTTTTCTTCTTCTTCATCACCCAACTTAATTTCATATTATTTTGAATTCATTTCAACTCATTTTATAATATCCCGTATATACACAGATAGTTTTTAAGAAACAGAATTATTTTATGATCAAATTATTGATAATAAAAAAAAAAATAAATTCTAATGGAAATTTGAAATGGTATAGAAAATGAAAACTAAATGGAGGTCAAGAAAAAGTAATGTACACGCATACAAATTAATATTATGTTAGTATGGACGGTTATAGTATTTTTGATATTGATTTTTTTTTTTTTTTGAAAAGATGTCAGTAATGTATAAATTGTTTAAGTATATACGCAATTTAAACTTTAACATTATTATAAATAATTAATTTAGAATAAAAAGAAAATTTTTTTTTTTTCATAAATAATTTATGGGGTTGCAATTGAATTATAAATTTTTGGTTTCATTCATGTTTTAAGAATGAATGGGGTTAAATTAAATATTTAGAATTATGGGAATTCTGTGAGGTATAATTATATTTCTTTGATTATACCCTGAATATATTTGTATATGAAGGAAGAAAACTCTAATTAATATAATAATTTAGAAAAACTTTCAAAAGAATCTGTTAAGTTTTTCATATCATAACCGATTTCAAATATTCGATTATATATCAAAAGCAATATACTCGTACAATTATAAATAAATAAATAAATAATTTTTATTTATTTATTTTTTATTTGTTCAATTTAATTCACATATGAGCTGGGAAGCTCGTACAGTGTTTAGTTACAATTCATTCTTTGTGTTCATTTTTAAATTCTTAATTCTAAGTTCTAAGTTCAGTGCAACAAAAATAATTCAAAAATATTACAATCTATAATTCTAGAACTAGGTAGATAATAATTATCAATTGTAAATTACGTAAATTTATATATACTCTAATTTATTTTACTGCTCTTCACATATTTTTCGCTACAAAAATTCGGAATTTTGTCATCATTGTTCAATTTTCCATATAGGTAAATTAGATCATTGAAAATTGTATTTTTTATTATATATAGTAGTAAATTTTGTATTTGTAACCATAATACGAGTATGTATACGCACAGCACTAATAATTTGAAATCTTGAAATTTTATACTCTAACTGAATAAGTTCAATTTTCAGAAAAATAAAATGTGAACCAGGAACGAATTTTTTATTTCTACATTGTATTTCTCTTATAACTTATTAATTATTTTCAAAATTTAAAAATATTATAATTAAACAGCATTTCCACATTATTTGTATAACAGTTTCATTCCAGTATTAATTATAAATTTCACAAAGGAATCCGACTTTTCTCTAATAATATAGAAAAGCCATTATTTTCTCTATTATGAGTTATCAAAATTTTTATTTTTATTATTTTAAAAATTTATTCTCCCAAAACATTATAAAGATTTTTAAGAAATTTGAATTGAATACTAAATTTCCTTATAGTTTCAACCACCCTCCCTTCATTATAATATTTTACTCTTAATTTTAAAAGTACCTTTTTAAAAATACTTTTATGCATTATTCCAAAAATTTTGCAAAAATGTTCAATTTTTTTTTTTATTATTATAAATAATATTATCAAAGTTTTTCATTATTATTTCCAACATCGTAATTTAACATAAAAACCAAAAAAACAAAAAATTCATAAAATTCTTGATTTTAAAAAGAACTGATATAGCCTTAATATTAAAATAGGCATAATAAATAACTCCTTAATATCTTCAACATTTTATAAAATATTTTAATGTCTCTTCCTTTTATTTTTGTCCTTTTCTCTCTCTCTCTCTCTCTCTCTTGCTTTTATTTTACTCTCTTTTATAATATCCCATCTTTCCATCTTTAATGTTATTTATTTTATATAGCATGAAGTTAAAAATGACATTTTTAAAAAATTCAAATAATGTTTATTATTTCGGTAACTGATATTACAATGTCATACTTTACATATTATTAACTACATACCCATAAAAACAACAAAAACAAGAATGAAAAACAGAGAGCACAAATATTTTAAAAGTATAAAAGAAAAAAAAAAGTAGCCGAATTTAAATATCTTCTCAATACTTTATAACTTATTTCAACTCCTCATAATCCTTTTATTAAATAAAATATAAATTTAAAATAAACAAAAAGAAAAATATAACAGAAAAAAAGGAAAATTTGTGACAAAACACACAAACATACACACAGTACACAAACTGAAACAAAAATGAATAAAATTGTGCGAAAATATTCCCAAACATCGTTACTTTTCATAATTTAATCCATGGAATTATTATTATTTTTTTTTGTTTTGGCAAAAAGTGAAAGCCATTTAGAAAAAAACAGTATAACAAACACTATATACACACATAAGAACACAAAAACAAGAAAATTATGAGAGGGGAAGAAAAACAATAGAAAGAGAACGAACGACAACAGCAACAATAATAGCAATCAAAAACGTTTCAAAGTCATTTTAGAACAAGAAAACAGCAGAAGAATAAAAACGAGAAAAGCTTGTACCAGCTTATACACAAAATTTCCTTAAAATTTTTTGGTTGATTTTGTTTCTGTTGTTACACACAATCCCTCCCTACCTATACCTATTTAAATTTTTTTTTTTCTGTTATTTTTGTTATACTCTTGTATAATACTTTATTTTTGGTGTTCGCAAATTCGCGACTTAAAATTCTTATATTAAATGGGATTTTTTTTTTGTTTTGTACTTCAAAACAAAATTTCATTTTATTCCTTTTTTTTTGTTGTTTTTTTTTATCCTGTTCTTGCCATGTAAAGTACATAAATATGTAAATAAACCGTTATCTTTATGGTTGTTGTGCATTTTTTAAACATTGTATAAAACAAAGAAATTTATTCCACTGTCATCAAAAAAAATTTTACACACCATCCTTAAAAAATCCGGGCTAAAAACAATAAAAAAAATAAAAACAGAAATAAAAAAGAAAAAAAAAAAAACAAAAAAAAAAATAATAACGGAAGGTTATAGAATTCTGTTTCTTTCGATAATGACTTTTAACTTTCTTTTGAAAGAACATAGAGAGAGAGAGAGAGGGAGATAGAGAAATAAAAAATACCTACATAAAAATATGGTAGAATAAAATAAAAATACGAGTAATAAGAAAAAAAACAAAAAAAAAGTAAGAATAAAAGAAGTATAAGAAAAAAAATTCCAAAAAGAAAAACAGAAAAATGATACAAAAATCATGAAAATCGTGCGAGAGTTAAAGAGGCAAAAATTCGCAAGAAAAATAAAAAATTGAGAAGAGAAAGAAAAAAATTGTCATTTTTTTATGTCATCAATAAATTTTAACATCCGAAATATTTTTCTTATTAATTTTTTCATACTTGTTAACTTAATTCACAGAGAAAAAATATTCTCTCAATTCAATATTGGGGAAATGGAAATTGGTATTACGGAATAATATTTATCTACCGTTACTTTTTGTTTTTATTTCATTCATTTTCCTTTGCATTTTTCCTCCCTCTTAAAATTTTTAAAATTTCATTTTCAATTTCAAATTTCAATACAATATTTTTTTTTCCACATTTATTATTTTCATCTCTTCTCACATTATTCTCTTTCTCTAAAGATAACATTTTTGTACACAAAACAAAACATTAGATACACTAATTTTCTCTCATATACTCTTCCTATAATTCAAATTGTTACCAGCTATACATGTGTTGTATTTTTTATATATAGAGAAGTTAATAAATAAAATGAGTGCATATGAGTGCATAAATATTATTATTCCTTGTATTTTAGCGAATGAATTACAAAAATAAATTAAAATCGATATTTTGTGGTTTTCTAATATGCATATGAGAAAATTTATTTTCATTTATTTTTTGTTTTTTTTTTTGTTTTTCAGATGATATTTTCCAAATTTACCATTTTACAATATTTTATGTTAAGATTAGAATTGAAGATGCATATTTCTTGTTTAGTAAATTCCTATAAAAGCTCTTGATATATTGGACACGGAAATTTTTTTTGTCTAAAAAATTTCATTCGAAAAGGTTGACATTCAAAAATATTTTTAATATCTTATTATAAAATATGTTATTTATGAGCTAGGAGAGATATGACCTTTTAGAGATACATAAGTAATGCGAGATTTATATAAAAATTAACTTGTGAGCAGCGCTACCAAAAGTGAAGACTTATCTTCAAAATGAAGAGTTTTTGGTCATATTTTTTTGGGCAAATTTTCAATATAAGATTTTAACAATTTTTTCTATATTTTCTAGAATTCACAATAAAACATTTTGACCAAAAAGTCAATTTTCATTTTCTGTCTATGACACCTTATGTAATCATATGTCACTGCACATGTCATTAGCTTTTATTTTTGGTATCTGATTTGGTTCGAATCGAAATTAGTGGTATTTAGGCTTCACACCTTTTGAAATTGATTTTCAACTGAAAATCTCGAATCAATCGTGATGGTTTTTTTTATCGAATCTTTAAAATGAAAGTTGTTATTTTAAAAAAATGAAAATGTTTAGGCTAATCTAAGTGGCAGCATCGCTTGTGAGGTTAAAATTGTTATATAGTAAGAACTTTGTGGATATTATTAAAAGTATTATTTCATATTTTGCGGATTAATTTTGATAATTTTACACAATAGTGTTATATTGTTTTGCATTGATATTCTTGTTTCTTGTATCAAGTGCATTGAAGTTGAAATTGCAATTAGCTATTTTAAATTAAACCACACAATTAAAACACAAAATTTTTATTGCTACCATTTAGTGATTAAAACTTGAAACTTATTTAATTTTAAATAAAAAATTCCACTCTCTTAATTGATTTTAATATCAAAAGTAGATGTTTTTCAAAACAAATTTTATAATTTCAATTATTTACCACAAATTGCTTAATATTAAATTTAATTCAATTTCAATTAATTCGATTTCAATTAAATTGAATATAGAATAAGCACTAAAGTGATGATACCTTACAATTTCTTAAATATTTAATTTCACATTCATTTTTACGCCTATAATATTCTCTATAAACCAAAATATTTTTTCCAGAGAAATATCCCGTTCTGAGTCTATTTCTTCTCATTTCCTCACAATATAAATGTTTTTGAATGTTGATTATTATAAACATTCATAATAATTTCATCTCACACTCTTAATTTTATAATGTTACATCTTACGTACCTTATCATGCTGAGCTACATATACATATACATTATGATTATTTTAATAAATTCAGAGCCCATACCTGAAAAATAAAATACAGTTTTTTTTAAAAATTTATTTCAATATTTTTCTTTTTTAATAATATTTAGTGTTAAAATTTACATAAATGTTTATAACTTCGTGTTTAATGCAATTTTGTATTTCGTATGCTGCATATATATATAGAGAAAAATAATGCATATTTCTTGCATATGCAAAAATGAATACTATTGATAGTCAAAATCATGTATGTATAATATGCAATAAATTTGAAAGAAAAATAAAGCGAGAGCGAACCTAAACTATTATACAACACACATTAAAATAATAGTAAACGAGAAAGAGAAGAAAGGAATAACAACTATAAAAAAAAAATTATTATCAGAAATTGCAAAATACTTCCGCTGTTTTTGCATACATTGAAATTATCCTATAATATAACACGTTCTCTTATACTATATAGGTACTCTTCTTTTAACATATTACTGTTAATATTACTGTTATACCCAATATTATATTCTTATATAGATATTTGAAATTTATAAAAGACCTTTTCCTTTCTCATATACAATATTATTTCAACAATATATGAGAGAGTCTGTAAGTATACCTTTTTTATTTTTTTATTTTTTTTTGTTTTCCTCCCCTGTAATTTATTATTTTCCTGTTGAGTATTTTTATCAACAACCAAAAGAATTAAATTTGGGTCGAAAAAGTAACATAAAAATACAAAATTAATGGGTTTAATAAATTTATAAAAATAAAGAGAGTATAAAGAAAAAAGCAAAAAAAAAAATTATAAGAAAAATTAAAAAAAAAAAAATAAAAGTTACAAAAGATAAAAAAAAAAGCAAGGATGAAATAAATATAAAAATTGCATATATAGGGTATGAGGGTATCATTAGTATACATGTGTATATGCACGATAGATATAGGACTTAGTATGTGCATTGCATTAAACTATTCCTAGATTTTATAAGTTTGAATTAAACTGTTATATACATACTTATGTATACCGTAATATAATATGCATAGTATGTACTAAATTCAACAGTTCTGTATTTCATTATAATGGCTAGTTAGAGAAGGTTCTGATAACAAGAAAAAAAAATAAAGATCCTTTTTCTTCTTCAATTTTTTCTTATTTTTGTTTCTTGTTCAAAATCGAATTTTTCTTTTTTTTTTTCCTTCTTCTTTTTCTTCTTTTGCAGTTAATTTTATTTTTTATTTCTTTTTTTTTCATTTTTGCTCTTTATTATCGATAATTTTTTTTTAACTTTCTTTTTATATCCGTTCTACATCGTTAAATGTCCTTTAAAACAAAAAAAAAGCAGAGAAACAAAAAAATTAACAAAAAGACAAGGAAACAGAAAGGAAAATGATGCTAAAGATGGTTTATTTTATAACCTTTTCGCTAAAAAATGTTTTTTTTTTTTGTTTTTGATATTTAAGAGACCGAAAGAGTAAATACATTGTAGTACAGTGAAAAGTGAAGTGAGTGGAATGAGAAAAGGTTACACAAACAATAAGGATATTGAGTAACTGAGTGTATTGAAAAAAAAGGCAAAATGAATTTTTAAAGGAGGTGAACTTTTTTTTTTGTTAAATAAGTTTTGTTTTTTAGCATCATTTTTCGAAATCATTGGCATATCATTTTCTTTTTTTGTTTTAGTTAATTTTTCCTTCTTTGCAATACTATACTATATAGGGTGTCTAGCACTAATTTATACTCCCGAAGCAGGAAGATGAGTAAAGAATTGTAAGGAGAATTTCGAGTTTGAAGGCCTCAAAGTTAGTATTTCTAAAAGCAAGTTGTAATTTTTACATTTTTCTAATAGCTCAGGAAAATGTAACAGGTAAAGCAAACATGATGAACTCATTTTGAAACCTATGAAATACTCCTTTTAACGGCAGAACATCCACATTTTAGTTTCTGATTCAAAAAGTCTAAAATATTATTAGGTTAGATTAGGTTGACGCAGGCATCCGAGGATACACTTAGATCACTTAGGCCCGTTGTGATACCGCCATAACTCCATGTCCCCACCCCAACGTGAATCAGCCTAAGTCTCCTATAAATTAAAATATTATTACTAGTATAAAACAAAAATTTTTTTGTCCGCTCATTATTACACTTGACTAAGTTCGTATTATAACCATAATTTTTATATTACATATGATGATCCTAAATTTTAAGAACAAGTTGTTTACGAAGCGAAAACTTGATGTTAAAACAAAATATGCAATTCAAAAATAAAAATTAAAAGAGAAAATGTCCCGTTTTTTGTTCGTCTGAATTCATTTTGTTACCATATTTAGGAGATCGATTCGTAGGCATCCTGTGTATTCAATTATAATATCGGGAATAAAGAAATAATAATAATTTCGATATACCCAGTTATTTAAGGTATAGCTAGTTATTTATATACCGTATTATATTACGTAATAACGATAAGAACTACACTATTTAAAAGTTATTTAAATAAGAATTAGGGTGATTATTTTATCAAAATTTATAAATATATTATTGAACATTTTCCAAAATAAAGTGAACAAGAAAAAAATATAGAAAGGACGAATGAAAAAAGACTTTTTATAAATTAAAACTAATATTGAAAATGACCGAAACAAAGTTAAAAAAAGTTACTAAATTAAGAAAGAAAAAAAGAAAGAGATTTAAGGAAAAACAAATGAAGGGCAAAACTAAAAAAAGTTTTTTATATTTTATAACAGTTTTAACTATTTATTATTTGAAATTGAAAAAATATAAAGAAAAATAAAAAATCACTACCACTTTTTATTTTTAAAATTTATAATCGTTTTCCTATATTTTCGCTCAATCATACTGACCTACACTTTCAATTCTCTTACCAATTTATTCAATAAAAAAAGAAAACTATGAAAATATAGGTTAAACGTTTTTAAATTATACCTAGTTGATTTATATATTTTATGTTAGTTTTTATATTAATGAGGTTCGATGAAAGAAACTAAAATATTAATCGATAAAATGTAATAAAATGCCAATAGAATTGCCTTTATTGCTATGAAAATTTGAAATTGCCGAATAAAATTTGCCCTATGGTACACAGTGGAATATAAAATTGAAATAAAATATTAAATTAGAATGATTTTCATATTATTTTGCAGGATTTTAGAAGAGAACAAGCAAATCTTATATTTAATATTTAAAATTTTATTAAGCAAACTATACTGAACTTTAAAACGTAAAATTTGTAACACCATAGAAAATTCTGCCATATATAACTTATGGACAAAGATATTTTTAAAATGAAAGCTTCTTGTTTATAATATGTTCCTGGCATGTAGTGAAATAAGTACCTTTAAGTGATTTTCAAAAACTCTTTCAAAAAGAAGAAATCTCTTTTTAATCGCTGTCAGGAACATTTCAAGATTTATTCCGGGTTTTGGTAGAACGCAATTCTAACTCCAGCAAAAAATGTCTGCACTAACCTATAAGATCTTTTCATACCATTTCATAATACTTTTCTTTATACTTCAAGCATTCTTATTTATTTTAGCGTTTATTCCATAAAAATTTCATGTTAACTAAAAATTAACTAAAAATTTTTAATTAACATGAATCTTTATATTAAATTTTTAATTAATAAGCTTAAATACGTAATGTAAAAAAAAACTACGGCAAGCTAGTTACCTACTTAGTTAAAACTCTATGACACAATGAAACTGCCATGACATAGTTTATAATGTCATGCGCTAGCTCTATACTCCTCCTAGGAGTGGAAAAGGAAAAAAAAATGTTTGTTTTAATTTAAACCTCAATTTCTTTAGTAATTTCATCGTCTGCACGAAACATACATACTCAAGAACATTTTCAATGTTACGCCTCTCATAACCTTAATCATTTTGATTCAGACACTACTCGTATATGTTATGTAAAAATTATATACCCTCCTAAACCAATTTTAACTATCAAACTATCAAATTTTTAAGAGTTTTCAAATTGAGTGCTTTAAAAAAATTTTTCTGCAATTTTTCGTTGAAAAAAGCAAATTTTAAAAACTGTAAGAAAAATTAGCATTTGAGAAATCTAATAAGTTAGCTATGTCTAATGATTTCTCGTAAATATAAAAAAGCAACTTTAAACCTTCTGTATTTATTCTAACATTTTCAATAACATGCAATCAAAATCTCTTACATAATACATTTTGATTATATTATTAGCAATTATTTAACATTTTCCCTCTCTTCTCTTCAACATTCTACAAATCCTTTTCACGATTCTACCCATGAAGAACATAAAAATCATCTAAAACATTAAGAATTTATTAAGAGTTTATTTAAAAAAAAAATTGAAATTGTTGCTTTGTTTTTTCTTTTATTTGAATTTTTATGACTAATATAAAAAGGATTTTTACTATAAACAAAAAAGGAGGAAAAATTTTTTCTTTAAGCGATGATTTTTAGAATTATTTGTATGTAGAAAAAAAAAATTTAAATATAAATTTATTCAATGTATAAATTTTTATGTTTAAAATCGGAAAATTCTGGTTTTGCATTAATTTACGATAAAGGATGAAATTTATTATAAGCACTTTTTAATTATATACCGATTAATTTTTCTTAAATCATTTAATAAATTCCAGAATTTTATAAAGATTTTTTATATTTTACATAAACTTAACACCCCTCGTCGAATTCTCTTCATTTTCTGCAAGGCAGCAAGTTCTGTTGATTTCAGAGCTCGTTTCTACAGGGTAATTAGGCAACAAGCTCGGAGGCATATACCATTTTCGGAACATAAAATTTTCTGCGGAATATGGTGTTGAATCGGAACCATTTCTGAGCTACAGGCATTTTAAGAAAATTTAGCGAAATTATAACATATCTAAGTTTTTCTGTTAATAAGTTCCGTTCCGAAATAGGTAGAAACTCCCAAAAAATAGTTTTCGAATGAGCTGTGCTAGAGGGCTTAAAATAAACTTTAAAAAGCTTTCGAACTTTAGAAAAATTTCAATTTTTGTCCTATTCATTTCTCACGAAATTTTTTGAAACTTCCAA